CACTTCAGTCCGCACATGGATTGGATTTGAAGTCCAGCCAAAAGACTCTTGACTAAAGACTTGGGGGACTTCTGTTGTACCATATATTGGGCCTCATTACTTAGCCCATGATTCATGTAAGAAGGGAGGAAACCCTTATTCTATAAAAGGGCTCCCTCACTCACTTAAGGGAGAGGGAAACAAATAGGGGAAACGGGAGAGCAAACAGAATAGCAAAGAGAGCAAACATTGCCTCTATAGCCTCCATGTATATTCAACATTTATTTACATAGTGAAACGGAATCAACACTAGTGTGGACGTAGCATCAACATGAGGTGAACCATGATATATCTTTGTGTTCTTGTGCGTTTGTGTGATTCACGGTCGGATTTACGTTGGTCCATGATCGACCTGAGATGTCGCCCAGAACTAATACTCGACATGAGACGGTGCTTAACGTAGAGCAATACTCAGCTAGAGGTAGCACGCGTTGTGAGTCTGCTTGTCTAGAGGCAATGCTCGTGGCGAGGTGGTTGCTTGGCTGGAGGCGGTGCTCATTGCGAGGCGACGGCTTGTGGCGTTCTTCATTGTAAGTATGCACTCGACGTCAGCGTGAGCTCATTATGAATTAATTCTCGACATGACTCGGATCCGCTTGTTGGGTTTGTATATGGGTCTATGTGTCGGTGAATCTTTTAGCTGGAGACTTCAAACCCAATCCATGTGCGGGTTGAAGTGACTAGATGTTGTCCTGAACTAGTACTCGACATGAGGCAATGGTCAACGTAAAGTAATACTCAACTAGAGGTATCACACGTTGAGATGCTGCTTGGCTAGAGGCATTGCTCGCGGCGAGGCGGTTGCTCGACTGGAGGCGGTGCTCGTTGCAAGGCGGCTTGGCTCGTGGCGTTCCTCATTGCGAGTATGCACTCGACGTCAGCGTGTGCTCATTATGAGTTAACTCTTGGGTCCACAAGTCGGGTCTTTGAGTCAGGGCCATCCGTAGGGTCCATGAGTCGGGGTTCGAGCTCAAGGATGTCCAATCTCGTAAGTACCCGAACGAATGGGTGTCCAAGCTCACAGGTGTCCAACTCACGTGGTGGAATAGTCATGTGGAATAATCATGATAGAGTCTTATTATAATGATAAGCATTGACCATACAGTATGTGGTGTTAGCAATGTTGGAGTATGTGGCCAAGTGGCCAAAAGACACTTTTGGTTAGTCAACAAGAAAAAAGGGAAACAACAAATTGACATCCCTTGTTTTGTGATGAAACATCATAACGATGTTTGTTGAAAGGGAAAAGTAAAGGTGCTTTATTTCTTTTGGCAGATGGAATTGGGTGGATACGGTTTCCCTTTGAAAACTTGCAGTGTGCTTGTAATTTGGCAGATAAGAGAGAGATGCAGAGAGCCTAAAACAAGGAAGAGTTGCCGCTCCATTTGTTAGTTATCATTCCACTAAAGTATATATGTATGCATAACTTTGTGTGATGTGCTTTGTCACGTTTTTGACAGTGATCATGTGATAAAATCATTAAATAATGTAAATGGTGTAATGGATGTACAGACTTTACCATGTTTTATGATAATGATCACTGTGATATCACATCACATGTATAGCAATAATAATATTATTAGACAATGAGTTGTCATGTTAATGAGGCATAAATGATAATAATAAAGTAATAAAATAACAAAAGAAAAAGATCTCATCTCCTATTTGTTGTGGGGTTTCTCCGTAGCGCATCTTCCAGATTATTCACCACAGCCTGATAGCAAGTCACTGTCTGAAAGCATCTCAGCTCTTGGCTAAAATTTGGCAACCCAATAGTGTGGTCAAGAATCCTAGTCGTCCTGTAATCGTTCGACCCTCCAACCGGCGTTGAGTTCGTTGCAGCAGCCGATGTTGGTGAGCCCGAGCTCGGTGACGAGGTCGTTGAGCAGAGTCAAGTTAAAGTCACCGGGGACAGTGAACACGTCGGTGACGCCGATTTGGACGAGTCGGCTCATGAGGTGGCAACCAAGAGTGGTGTTGCAGGAGTTGATCACGGTAGAGGGTAGATGAGTTTGAGAAATGGGCATCATTTTCGAGAGGTCTCTTCTTCGTCCTGGAAGGAAGAGAAGACAGGGGAGGTTGTGGAGGGAGGATTTTAGTGGAGCTTGGAAGGGTTGTGAGGATTTCGGTGGCTGTGGGCTTGGCCGGCTTTGGTTCTTCCATTGGTTCCTTGGTGGTGTTTGTCTGGGGAGTTGAGCAGACTGTTGCTTTGTGATTGTAGGAAGTGAGGTGCTTGTGGTGTGTTTCCTTCGCTGCTGCCGTGACTGGGAGATGGAGCGGAAGACATGGGTTTTGCTGTGATTGTGTAGGTGTTTGGTTCTTCGGTTTTTGCCGATTCATGGTGGAGGGTGTGAGGGTTTCACGGTGGTGTGATGAAAAAATGAAAGAGAACCGACATAGCTTTTCGTGTCGATTCCCACAGACGACGCCAAATGTTGATGCACAAAATCGGGTCGATCTTGGACCAACGTAAATCCGACCGTGAATCAGACAAACGTACAAGAACACAAAGATATATCGTGGCTCACCTCAAGTTGAGGCTACGTCCACACTGATGTTTTCACTATGTAAATGAATGTTGAATATACATGGAGGCTATAGAGGCAATGTTTGCTCTCTTTGCTATTCTTTTTGATCTCCCGTTTCCCCTCTGTTTGTTTCCCTCTCCCTTAAGTGAGTGTGAGGGAGCCCTTTTATAGAATAAGGGTTTCCTCCCCTCTTACATGAATCATGGGCCTACGTAATGAAACCCAAATACCGAGGCCCAATATATGGTACAACAACTGAAATCCTAGATAACCTAAAGGGGTTGACCAACTAAGATGCCACTATCGGTCATGAACCCTCCTATTGATTCTTCTTATAATTCGACAAAATGGAAACAGTATCTCCCTAGTACTCCACGATCACCGATCAATTACGAATACAAAATGGAAACAGTATCTCCCTAGAACTCCACGATCACCGATCAATTACGAATCTTTTTGGTAGTACACTACACCAATATTCATCACAACCGTGCAATCAAAAGTTCAAACCCGACTGAAGAAGGTACCAAATTTTATCAGCTGCACTGATTCAATTCGAAAAGGAAACTACATTCCTAAACATATGGATACACACAATCACAAATCTTTGTAAAGTCATGCAACAATGGTTCAACTTCATTCCTAAACATAAGAAAATACATCATAACAGAAAAGTATACGCTTTCGAAAGGATTAAGAAAACAAACCGAAAAGCGGAACACACCTGGAATAATAACAATTGAAAAGGAGGAAAACCCAGATACCTTTAGGTCCTAAGGTAAGGGAAACAGCATCAGCAAGTTTATCTATCCCAGTTTGTAAGGCATCCCTGCATTCTGTACCAAAAGATATCTTCTTTGCGCCGGTTTTGATCACATGCCTCCTCAAAGCCTGTGGCCTTCTCCAAAACCCAGCTACTCGTTGCTTCTGAAAATTGCTCTGAAGCTGCAATGGAAACCATTAGCCCAAAATCACAGTTGAGAGACAGAGAGAGAGAGAGAGAGAGAGAGAGAGTCTCTTACAGAGAAGAAAGATTTTTGAAAGAAGAGTTGAGAGGAGGAGGAGGAGAAGGAGATAGACATTTCTGGGTGCTGGCGGAACAAGGAGGTTGAGGTTTAGGACAACTTTCCCGGAATTTGAAGGATTTTCCTGGAAATTTTTGACGGGTTTTAGTGTTGGTGCGTGGTCGCAGGGGTTTTGGGAGGTGTGGAGGATGGTTTTGTCATGTTATATAATTTTATTTTATTTATTCTGTGATTCATTTAATTACCAACGGTGAGCTAGAATCGAAAATTGAAATCAAAAACACAAATCAAAATGAATCGCACCGAATGTTTTGATTTTTGTGGTTTGAAGATGTTTTCAGTTTAAAACCAAATCGTAATATGAAAACATGATTTGATTTCGATTTTGAACATTAAAACCATACTTAAATTGAACCGCATCGCAAAAATTAAATAAATATTTAGTTTAATACCAATATTAAGTCATTTATATTTGAGGCTTTCTTTGTTTTTTTTATGAATTTTAATGTGGCTTGTTACTGTCTTAGGCTTTCCAAAGTCTATAATAACTAATGTATTTATGTATTTGTATTGATTTGAATTCAAGAATAGTCTCTCTTACTCTTAAGTCCACACTCACAACAACAAACACCAGGGCTATCTCAAGCTTTAGTACATAAGGCTCAATGGATTTTTATTCATCAGTTTCACTTTCACAAGGTCCAAGGTCTTCCTTAGAACCACCCTCTCAAACCCGTTCACAAGCTCAAAGACCTTCTTAACCTTTGAAGAGTAAGTGTCCAAAAGGAAAAAAAGAACAAGAGAAAGAGTTGAACGGTAAAAAGTAGTGACTTGAAAATTAAAGAATCAAAACCTTTTTGTTAAACTGCATGAACAATTTATTTTTTTTGAGTTGTATTACTAAGGCCGTAAGGCATTTTGTTGTTGAAGTTTGTTTAAACCTTAGTTTTAGCATGCCATTATGCATTTTGATGATGAATTTTATTTCAAGTTGAATTTTAGTGTGGTGATCATAATTTTTTTTTATTGGATTGTATTAATTGCATAAAGCATATAGTTTGCTAATGATTTGAAACTGAAATCAAAATCGTTTAAAACCGAACCGAATCACAACTAAATTGTTTGGTATCATTCCTGTTTAGAGTTCAAAACCGCGCTGCAAAAAGAATTCAGTTTCGGTCTTGGTTACGCGAACCAAACTACGCCCATCCTGTTTACCAAAAAAAAAAAAAAAAAAAAAAAAAAAAATCTACGCCCATCCCTTGATGAATGCGCGAATTGACCAATGAGTGCGGGCCGAGGCGACTCACCCAAAAACCCCGAGTCAACTCACCTGGTCAGGAAAATAAAAAACTCGAAAAAAAAAATAAAAAAATAAAGGGAAACGAAGCAAAACTTGGCTTTCGGATTGGGTTGTGGCCGCGTAGTCGGCTCTCTTCCCCTCAAAACCCCCATTCCCCCAGCCCCTTCTCTCCCTCTTTCGTCTCTTCACTTCTCTCCCTCTCTCTCCAGAGAAGTGAAACTTCCCGAGAAATTCACCGCTTGATTTTCTCGGTATCCAAACGGAAAATAAAAATTCGGAAAGAGAAAGAAAAAATAAAAATGTCGCACGCCGTGTTCCAGACGGCTCAAATCATGCCGATAAACATGCAGCTACCGACGAAGCCGAAGCTGGCGGTTCTGCCGACCCAGCTTCGGATGATGGAGCGGAGGGGTCTGGTGCTGAAGGCGAATTGCTTGCCGTCACCGTCTACTTCCGATGCTGTGGACGGAGACTCCATGGCCATGATGGAGCGCTGCTTCGCGGGGCCGTCGGCCCCCGGCGGTTTGGGTCCGGTTATGAAGGGACAGTATGGTGCGTTTGGTGCGGTTACTCTTGAGAAGGGCAAGCTCGATATGTCTCAGAAGCAATCCAAGTCTAGCCCCGAGGTCAGTCTTACACTGAAATTTTGATTGTTTTTCTTGCTTTATTTGAGTTGATTGAGTTGTTCGGTTGGTTAGAAAATGGGGAAAATGGAAAAGAAACTGAGGGGAGTGACAATCCTTAGAAATGTTTAATCTAGGTGCTGGATACTGGAGTAATTTAGAGATTGTAAACAGGATACAAATTTTTAGGAGAATGAACGAAATTGCTTTTATCAAAATCGGAATTAGTTCAATCCCACCTTGCTAATTTATAGTTTTTACCTGTATACAAAACTTGATGGACCTTTTTGTTTTCGATACAACGATATTCGGGGGAGTGGAGGATTGAGCTAACTCACAGAATGGGGTAGCCATAATTTGGTATCAAACTTACCATTTATGGAAGTCAAACATAAAACATTTCACTCACAATTGGAGAGGAATACCACTACACGTAGTGCTAGTGGGAAAATTGAGCGACTTTTGGTGTTTAATGTGTCAGAAACATTGGATGAGCTAAGATATGAATGTTATTAACTAACAGTTATACTAAGTTGACAAGCCCTTTTTGAATTCCTTATGAGAATGAAATTCATGACTCCAACAACAACAAAGTCTTATCCTACTAAGTGGAATCGTCTATATGAATCCTAGAATGCCATTGCGATCAGTTTTGCGACAAGTCTTTAGTTAGCTTCCCTTGTATTTTCTTAAAGTCTCTTTAAAAGTCTTCCTAGGTCCTCCTCTACCCTTTTTTCCTGAGCCTCTATTTCATAATCACATTTTATAACCGGAGCATCTGTAGGTCTTCGTTTCACATGTCCAAACCACCTTAACCGATTTTCTCTCATCTTATTTTCAATTGTGGCCACTCCTACTTTACCTCGTGTATTCTCCTTCTTAATTCTGCCATTTCTTGTGTGCCCACACATCCAACGAAGCATTCTCATCTCTGCTACACTCATTTTTTGACGTGTTGATGCTTGATTGCCTAACATTCCGTGCCCAATGAAAATCATGAGTAATAATGTTTTTATATTTGTCATATTTGATGCAACAACAAGATTGAATGTATGATGAAACTGGCATTTCATAGATATTTGGACTTTATATGAAGATTAGTGTGTATGTGTGATTTAGAATCTACTTTAACTTTAAATTTGTCTCTCTTTTCTGATTGCAGAATTTAATCTTATATATTCCCAATATTATTAGGGTTTACTAGAATTCAATTATCAAGAGTGACCTATTTGGAATCCAAAATAGATAATAAACAAAGCATGATTATTAATTCCTTCACAAAGGATGTAAAATGTCGTCTTAGTTGCCCATTGCTGTTGTGTTGAAATTATAAACTAACATGATTATTAATTCCAACAAAAAGAAAATGGAAGTAACACTCCTGTTAGTTTCATCTTACCTTGATTTGTTGGGGGCAGGAGGCTGTTGCATTGACTAGAGCGTTTCCATTTGATTTTGTTGCTTTTTTTTCTTTTTGTTCCTTTTTAGGTTGGACAATATTGAGTATCCTATTTAGACTAAACACAAGTAAAATAAGATGCATGGCTCATAAAGCATAAAGTTTGAACTTAGATAAGCACAAACAATATAAGATGTATCAACCATAGGACAATGTATGAACTATAAAATAACTCACTGTACCCTAATAAAATATTAAGGAAACTCATTCTTTGACCAAAAGTTGCTCTAAGGTTTCTTAACCATTCAAGTGCTACCAAATTAGACAATTGTTTAATACTTCACTCTGTTTCTTTCATGAAGCAATTATGACATATAGTTGGCATGTTTTAGTGTACTTCCATTTATATTTTGTTCAGTACTCTATGAAAATGCTAATAATTTGAAATTGCAGACTGCAATTGGGGGAGGCGGTGGAGATATTGGAAAGAGAATAAATAATGGTGGTGGTGATGGAGGTGATGATGGTGGTGATGATGATGATTATTTTGATGACTTTGATGATGGCGATGAGGGAGATGAAGGTGGTCTGTTTAGAAGCCGGATGTTTCTTGAAGAGGTTGGGAATATCCTTTATTGATGAACAATATTGCATATTTGCTGAAAGATTTTTTCTCTTTGGGTTATGTTAATCTGAAATATATGTTGCACTGATGATTAATGAATTTTTCTGCAGCTCTTTGATCGAAAATTTGTTGATGCAGTATTGAATGAATGGCAAAAGACAATGATGGATTTACCTGCTGGGTTTCGGCAAGCTTATGAAATGGTGCGTACTTTTGATAGCATATTTTGTTTGAAGTCTTTCAATTAGATACTACGAACCCAACAAATAAAAATAAAGAGGAAAAGAAATACGTTTGGCTTGATACCAACCTAAATTTTGACTGCAGGGATTGATCAGCTCTGCTCAAATGGTTAAATTCTTAGCGACCAATGCAAGGCCGACCACTACTAGGTTTATTTCTCGTGCGCTTCCTGATGGAATATCAAGGGCATTCATTGGCAGGTGATTTTATTAATTTTTGGAGCAGTTTCTTATGTTTCAAGTCTATCCTTTTGCCAATTACTACCCTCTGGACTGTCCTGAGCCATAATATTTCTAGCATCTTTCAGTAGCTTTCTATTCTAATTAATTTTGGCATGTCTGTTTCCCATTCTCATACTGATTGATGTTGCCATACACGAAAGTGGGCAGGAGCCAGTAGTAGAAAAATGTCTGCAAACATCAAGAAACTTTCATGACACCAATATTGTGATAGAATAGAAGTTAGCAGCCTTTTAAGAACTCGAGTCTCTTAAGATCCATTTAAGTAAGGGATTATATTGTCATACTAAATCATATTAGTGTAAAAGTAAACCATATTAGAGAAAATTGGAGCATTGGTCTCTGCACTATGCACCAATTGTAGCTTTGGTCCCTGGATTAAAAATATATGAAAATTGGCCTCTGAATTTGAGGAAATGTGGAGTATTGTCCTTCACACTAACTTCTGGAATTAAGGACTAAGGCTCCAATTTTCTCATCACATTACTTGGGTGGTCTTTAAGAAAATAGTAGATAATGAAAGACATTAACCGTAATACTCAACAGGTTTTACTTACATTAATCATAGTTCTGAACGGATTTGATAGGGCACAATCTTGATCACAATAGGGAGCTACCTGTTAATAAAGCTAACCAATATCCTTGCAATCCTGAATAAAAGAATATTTTTTTTAAATTATTCAACACATATGCAAGCCGGGGCTTAGGTGATACATATCCAGTTTGTTACATGGTAACATAACTCATAAATAAAAATAAAACTAGAAAAATATAAAAGAAGCTAAAACAACTAAACAAGAAAGTAAAACGGATTTCTGCTTATGCTGCTTTGAATGGCTCTGCCTTGTGACCATGAAAATATGATCTTTAAAATGTTCAGTACCCTTATTTTTTCAAAACCAACAAAACTTAAACTCTAAACCTGAACAAGCAGAACTCCCTTTAGGACTAGGTTGAATTTTATGAACTTTAACACCCCAGTACGAGTAACGAACTCTCACATATTAATTAAGGAGCACTGTAACAACATTTGAGCACCGTAGGAGCAAAATATTACCAACATATAAGTTCCAGTAAGGATCTCCTTGAGCACTTGGAAGAATAATGGAACATGTATCAAATCAAGAAGACTTTTCCCTGCAAAGGCCACGACTGGAAACATAACAAAAATGAAGAGACAGAAATGAACTTTAGTAAATAACTGTTTGGGGAAATCAGATATCTAATGGTAAAAATGGGGAGCCATGGATAGATGGATATGATATAATTCAGTGGCAATGCATTTATGTTTCCTCCCTTAGAGATAAGTTTTGGTGTTCGTTTAATTCTTTAATAAATGTATTGTATCCCTTAGCATTGATGTTTGATATGATTTGTTGTGCAGAATGCTTGCAGATCCTGCCTTTTTATATAGGTTTCTGTTAGAGCAGGCTGCGACAATTGGTTCCTCGGTGTGGTGGGAGTTAAAGAATCGTAAGGGCAGGTGCGTTTCCATGTTATGATAAAAGCATGAAATTTTTGGCAAGTCTTTTGAATATTGAATTCATTGATATTTATTTACTCGAGAACAGGATAAAACAAGAATGGGATTTGGCGCTTATAAATGTACTCACAGTAACAGCATGCAATGCTATTGTTGTTTGGTCACTTGCTCCTTCTCGTTCATATGGGAACACATTCAAGTTTGATTTGCAAAATACGTTACAAAAACTCCCCAACAATGTATTTGAGAAGAGCTACCCACTGAGGGAATTTGACCTGCAAAAGAGATTTCACTCTTTCTTCTACAAGGCTGCTGAGTTATGTATGGTTGGACTATCTGCTGGAGCTGTGCAAGGTTCTTTATCAAATTTTTTGGCCAATAAAAAGGAAGGAAGGTGAGTAATGTATTGCTAATTCTGATTTTTGTTATCTATATTCTGATAATTTTGGATGCAATGGAGAAAGAAATTTGAGATGGAATTTGTCTTACTTTTCCTTTAAAAGAACCAGGAGTTGCGTTGTTCTTTGTTGAATACTCCCCCCATTTCATAAATCTTTGACAATTTTGGATCAAGTAATTTATACCACTTTTGTCCCAATACCTTTATCCTTTCATTTTTTGTTGCATGTTTTTCTTAAGAATTGTAAATAGGTGTTAGCTGGTCACTGGATTGATAATATGCTTGTTAAAGTTATTTACTTTTATGGAGAAGGTTCTTTTCAAATAATAACGCATTACGCAACATAGAAAAGAAATGGAAACACCATTACGTCAACTCTTTAAATTTTCTGCAAACGAAACATTGTTTTTTTTTTGTTTATTGTATTGTCAACAGTTCGAGTGTTCCACTTAAAGAAAGTTACTAGAAGAGAAGTGCTTCAAATTTTTTGAAATAAAATTTTCCTTCTCTTGTCCCCCATTTCGATAAGACAACTATTTATTGTTAGTGCCAACTAATATAATTCGTATGCTTGCTCATACAATTTACTTCCCATGCATGTTCAAATAATTTAGTTCCTATCCAATGTTAACTTGTTTGACAGGTTATCTGTGACGATCCCAACTGTCAAAGCAAATGCGCTCGGTTATGGTGCCTTCCTCGGACTATATGCGAACCTGAGGTATCAGCTATTATGTGGATTTGACAGAGCAATGGTGAACCATTTTGATGTTATTGGGGTCGCCCTGTTTTTTAGCACGACACTGAGGTATGTTTTTTATTCTGTTTGGGCACTTGTATTTAAAGCATAGACTGGTAAATTGCTTATACAAACCCTGCCTTAGAGGGTTTTCTCTTTCATGGTCAATGGTGAACCATATGATTACTCATTTCCCCTCCGTCCCCTTCTACCTTCCACATTCTTCTCTGGCCACATTTATTCATAATGCACTCAAAACTAAGCATTTAACATTTCTAAACTTAATTTAGTTTATATTGTTGCCCTTGATACATCTAAAAGGTAAATCGAGAATGAAAAAATGTTCTAGTTTTGTCAAACGTTTGGGTTCATTGGTGCCTGGTGGGGCCAGCTTAGTGCCCGTTATTTTCAAATTTGATTACATACTTTTGAGATAAATAAGAAGCCCGTGCGATACCCTTTTATCCGGGTTTGTGCAGCAATCCCCAGTTTTTGAATGGCTCGTAATTATGATTGCCTGAACCCCACCACCATTTTTCATTTACTTGGTACTGTAATTGGTATAAGTATCCGGACCCTACTTTTGTCCTGAAATGTCCTTGATCACTTGGGCCTTCTTTTGTCCTGAAATGTCTTTCTCACTAGGCAACTCCTATGGCACTGAACAAAATGCTGCATAACATGAAACGCAAAAAACCATCCTTGGAAGCAGTAAATAATATGCCAATAGTAGACGTCGTTCAGTTCTTTCTAAGCTCTAGTGCTGCTATGCTTCAGAATTGGTTGAATTCTCATATATGGATTCCTAGTCAATAATTTCCTCAGTGCAGCAATGTAGCAATCATTTCTATCCTCTTTCCACTACAACTCCTGAAGGAATTGTCTGTTCCTATTTACTTGCACATATCATGTGAGAATCGGATCGAGTATTTTGGCAAAATAACAACTGTAATTTCTGTGACTTTCTCAAGAATGAATGCTGCCTGCAAGTAGGGAGTCCAAAAAAATCTGAATCGTCTCTCTTAAGTTTCATATGTAAATCTGCATCTCTCTGATTGTAGCGTGTAATCATCCAGCGACATTTGAATTTTCCTTCTTCCGTTTCCAGGACAGATAAAAAAAATCTGTCATAAAACCAAGTTCATCTTGGTATAATTCTACTAGGTCTTCTTTTTCTTTGGTATATCTTAAGTTTTGCTTTAAATGGTAAAATTGCACGATGTATCGAGCGATTCTTTGACTCTCAATTGGGAATGTGGACAGGATTTTGAATGTGCAATTAGGAGAGAGATCAAGGTTGGCTTGGCTTGGGGTGGAGGCTGATCCACTTGTTCACTCTGATGATCTTTTGAAGGTATACAGTAGGCCTTCTGAAAATATTGATCAGCCGTCTTCAAAATGGTTTATATCAAAGAATGCCATCGTTTCTGGGCTTGGGCTCCTCGGCATCAAACAGGGAAATGCCGACTCTGTTGCTGATGGGGAATCATCAACACCTAAGACACGCAGAAAGAGGATTGTCCGGAAGAAGGTGACTGCAAGTTCAGCGTAGTTTAATTGAATGTAATCATTGACAGAGTCCAATTTTGTTGCCCGAGGGAGTTACAACTTGCTCGCGAAACTGTTACGCAAGTGGAGCTTAAGAGGTGTTTGTGCAGAAATTTCTGGCATCTCTGGTAAGGAGAGAAGATTTATAATCTTTAGTTGCTTTATATAGCGTCCCTTCTCTTGATTGCAAGTGCACTGCACTGCCATGTTTACCTTGAAATTTTAGTAAATTAGAAGCTTTAATTTATTTTTTTAGCTAAAAGCGCATTTTTTGAAAGATTTTTAGCTGTTTGTAATTTCAGCCGTGCTAGTTTGTCACATTACTGAAAAATTCAATAATTCAGAGTTTACTTATTTGGAAGTACTTTTAAAATGACTAAAAACTTTTTGGTGAAATTGTTTTAGATTTTGAATAACATTTAAGGTGCCTTATTGATGACGTACCATTCCACAAACACCAGTTATGTGCAATAAGCACTTCAAGTGTTTTTTTAAGATTTACTTGCGTTTTTACCAAGGATTAGAGCCCAAAAATATTATTATCAAAAGTGCTAAGCAATTTTAAAAGCACTTTCAGTATTCTTCCACTCTTTTGATCACATTTGGTGCCCAAAGTCATATTGATGGGATATCGCACTAGTATTTGGATGATTGCCTCCTGAACTTGTAAGGAGCTGGCAATTTCTTCTCTAAACTTTAGTTTTAGCTGATTATCCTTCTACAAAAAATGTATGCAGTAAACTAGCGGAGGAGAAGAAGACAAAAATATGTTGTCCACATTAGGGATGAAATTTTTATTTTTTTGCGTATATAATTAAAATTTAGAAGGGAAATTTGACAACTATAAAAGTTTAGGAGCTAATCGATCTAATTCAGAGAAAAATCGGAAATTGTAAAAGTTCAGAAGGTTAATTTTGTTAAAATTAAAATTAATAGGAAAAGTTGAGAGCTCTACAAATTCGATAAAAAAAATCAACAAATTCCTCATTGATCCAGTACAATCTCTCATTCTGTGAGAGTTATTCCCCCCTTTTGGTGATGGTTTCAATCTTGACCACCATCTTAGGCGCTGACTCTAGCCTCAGCTGGAGAAACCTTCTATGCTGTTTTTTTCCCCTTCCTCCTCATCTTGATTTGCCCTCCTATTCTTCCCTTGTCATCCCTCTTCCTCCATCTGAGTTTCGATCTTCAACCATACTTGCATTCGAGTTGGTGCCGCAAGTTTCAGTGTTTTGACCAACTCACGTGTTCCCAACACCACCACCTTCTCTTTGTTGTCTGCCTGATCTGGCAGTATTGCTCATGGTGTTCCATGGACTTCATCTTATTGATAACCAACTGATTTCCTTCAGTTTTTGGTTATCTTTACTTCATGACTGTGCTCGGGGAGTAGATCGGTATTGGATGATACGATCGAAAGGGCGGTGTTTGGTGGTAGGCATGGATTTCTGCAGGTTGAGATGCACTGTCCTAGCAGAAGTGGTAGCAGCGAACTTCTCGGTTTTTTGTTTGTTTCTTTTGTTTTTGGGCCCCAACCTAGTTTATTGTTTGGCCCGCCTTTTGTTTTTTTTTGTTTTCTTATTCTGGTCATTTTTTGTTTGTTTATTTTGTTTGTGGGCCAGTAATTTGTAAATTTGTGTTGTGTGTTTAATAAAGAAAAAAGGATCATCGCCAGATCATTTTCCTGTGATCTTAAAGATTCTATGATCGTGACTGTTTATCGTACATCATGCTAACAAAAGTTATTTTAAAATTTAAAATTAAATATAAATAATACCTAATGAAAATTAACAGCACAATATACGATGAACGATTACGATTGCAAGATTCCTAAAAAACCCAGCTTAAAGGATCCGGCCTTTAATAAAGGTTCCTAGATTACCGTCCTTTTGATCCAGAAAAAAAAAAAAAAAAAAAAACACCCTCGATAGAGAAATCGACAAATTGATCCAATTCTATATTATCTTCAAGTAGATCGCCGTCGAACAGAGCACCGTCCGATTTGAAAGTGGGCCCCACACGCAAAAAATAACATTACAAATTGATCCAATTCTATGTTATCTTCAAGTAGATCGCCGTCGAACAGAGCACCGTCCGATTTGAAAGTGGTCCCCACACGCAAAAGATAACATTAAACATGTCCAATATCTCTATCTCGATCCCGAACCTAACCTCAGCTTCCCTCATCAAATCTCATTCCCCCTCCGTACTGAAAGCTATTAACTATCATTAACTCCATAAATCGCCCAGCCGCTCACGGAGGCTCGTGGCATACGACGATGAGCCACGTCGTGTCAAACCTCCGGTACTGGCTGGTCAACCACCCTACGATTCTCCACTTCTCGTGGATTCCAGGTCAAACTCCAGCCTCCACCCCACTCTTCCTCACTCTCTCTCTCATCTTCTACCTCTCTCTCACCTTCCTCCTCCGCCGCCTCCCACTCTCCCCCATCAACCCCGTACTACTCAAACCAATCACAGCCGTCCACAACCTCATCCTCTTCCTCATCTCCCTCATCATGGCCGTCGGATGCACCCTCACCATTCTCTCCCCCAACACTCCAAACCTCGATTGGATCCTCTGCTTCCCACCCAACACCTCCCCGACCGGGCCCCACTTTTTCTGGGCCTACGTCTACTACCTCTCAAAAATCCTCGAATTCTTCGACACCCTCTTCATCATCCTCAGCGGGTCCATTCAACGGCTCTCCTTTCTCCACGTATACCACCACGCGACAGTGCTGGTCATGTGCTACTTATGGCTGCACACGTGCCAGTCCCTATCCCCAGTGGCGCTCGTGACCAACGCGTCAGTGCACGTGCTCATGTACGGGTACTACTTCTTGTGCGCGGTCGGGATCCGGCCCAAGTGGAAGCGGGTCGTCACGGATTGCCAGATCGTGCAGTTTTTGTTCAGCTTCGTGGTGTCGGGTCGGATGCTGTACTTGCACTTCACCGGGTCGGGTTGCTCCGGGATTTGGGGCTGGTGCTTCAACGCTGCGTTTAACGCCTCTCTCTTGGCCCTGTTTATTGACTTTCACGCCAGGAGTTATGCCAAGAGACAGAATATGGTATCGCGTCAAAAGAATAAAAGCTCATGAATGTTTTGATCAGTCTTCATCGAGTGGTGGTTGTGCTTCTTGTCTTTATGGATGTCATTTATTGAACGGCTACGATTAGTTGAGTACTTGAGTACATTGTAGATTCATTATTCCTCCACTCGAACAATTTTAATTTTTCAGTGTATTTGAAACACAATTACGTGCCGTTATTGATTAAGTGTATTCTTATTATATGGAATGATACAACTTGTGTTCCAATTACATATATAAGTTTCTCGTGTTAGTGCCTTCTTACTTTTATTAGCCGACATTCACCTTTCCCAGACCCTGCGTAAAGCGGGAGCCTTGTGCACTGGGTACGACCTAAAACACAATCACGTGGTGTTATTAGTTCAATCAAATCATAATAAGTGAATTTATTTCCTTATAATACTATATAGGTGGATATGTAAACTTTATCGTCTAGTATTATTAACAAGTGAAATTATATACATATTATTAACATGTGAAATGATACACAACGTAACTCGTCAAGGTTTTAAAAGATGTTAGGTGCTAGTTGGGCGGTGTGCTATGTAAAATTTTTTAATTTTAATTAAATTCATTTTATAACATATAAATGAATATTTGTTTATAAAAAATAAAATACATAATTGTATCGGATACCTAAATTGCAAAATAAAATGACATATAAAGGGTAAAGTACTAAAACATATTGAAATATGAGGAACAAGAATATAATAAGTGTTTATCTAAGTATCCAACAAGTTTGTTACAATTTATTGATTTTTTGTTAAAGCGAGAGTTGCGACCTAAACGGTTTAGGCAGATGCCTAGGCAAGTCTAGACATCATTTCATATTGTTTAAATGCTTAGAAATTAATCGTGATGGTGACCAACCGCTTAACACCTAAGCAAGACTTAAACAACCCTAAACAGAGCCTTTAAAAACACTGATTATAAGTACCAATAAAAATTACTCGTGTCGTGGCTTCTTGCTTTTATTGTTTCATTTATTTGCTTACCAAAAAAACTATGTATTTACTTAGTTTATCTGCACCTTAAATCATGACTATATTAAAAGAATCAAGAAGTATGTACAAATCATAAAACAAAAATCAATGGCTGTTTACTCTTTGGTCGGTGAGTCTTTATTTGAAAATCTTTCATTATATTTTAATTCCTCCTCCTAGTGAGTGGTTAGGGTTTAGTTATCTAGGTTAGATGATTCTTTAAATCTCCAGTTATTTTATTTTATTTTATTTTTTTAACTTTTGATTTTTACAAACCGATATTTCTAAAGAAACCATTGATAACTTATTTCATTTTGATTTTTTCAAAACCGAAAACTTGTCTTGTAATTAATTTCAGCTTTTAGTTTTTTGCTTCAAATTTGGAAACTAAAAACTTGAAATGGTAATCAAACGAGTCTAAAACTTTTTTCATCTACTAGAAGGGTACTTTGAACTCGAACATACGGAGGCATGTACAATGTCCTAAACAGTTGACCTAATCCAAATGAATTCACGTTTAAGTCTATAGCCAAAGAGCTTGGAAAGAGAGAGTATAATTTTTGCACATTAATTTGAAGACATTCATCAAACACCTAATCCATTTCCTTAGAAATAGAAACGCCTAAAGATAAGGGTTAAGAGCATCTCAAGTAGTGTAGGAAATGTTTGCACTCAAAATATACCTATTTTTACTTATTTGGGCAATTTGGGTAAAATATGGCATTTGGAGGATTAATATGCAAGAAAGCTAACTTGGAAAGATATTTAGATGCAAGTGGAGGGGTTTGACACTATAATATTGTTTCTCCTAGTTGTTTGGGTGGTGGAGGTTTGTCTAGCATTTGTTTAATCAAGATACATGCATGTATTGCAAGTAGATGGAAAGGCATCAGCAAGCTTTCGGGCAAGGAACATGTGAAAGAAGTCAACTTGCTTATTTTAAATGTTAGTTTATTACAAGTGGGAAAACATGTGCTAAAAACATGTGGTGGAGATGCAAATTCCCCTTTTAATATTGTTTCTACATGCAAGTTGGCAAAAGTAATGCAAGCTACCCAAGTAAGGAAACGCAAGCTGCCCAAGCTTCTTTCGGGCAAGTACAAAACCTCAGCAGGAGGGTTTCCTCCAGACCTCTATAAAAAGGAGCAGATGCACAAGGATTAGAGACACTCAAACAAACAAACAAAAGCACAAACTCTGCTCAAACCAGATTTGCCCAAAGCCTTCTTTTATCTAGTTTATTAGCTCTGCTGCTCGCTTGCGGTATCGATCTCATTTGTAGCTTTTATGTACTCATTTCCAGCCATATAAATTACAAGCAATCTGCAATTTTAGTCACTTTCCTCTGTCATTTATATTTCCAAGCAACCTTGTCATTTACATATTGTTCTATCTCTCCATATAAGTAAAGTCCTTGTTTTTAAGGCAAACAAAGAACCTTAATTTGAGCAACTCCCACTCAAATGGCACAATCTCTTGATTTGAAGTCAAAAGGCGCAACCTCAATCATTCAAATCCTGTCTACTAGCGGCATCTAGTAGTAGCACGCCCGCACCCACCAATCTCATATGTGAAGTAAATCCCCGGCTTGCCCGCAAGGCACCATGGCGGATTTAGGGAGCAAACAGGAAATTTAGGTATATAGTAAGACAACTACTCAATTAATTACGAACAACATAATTAACAGTTTAGCACAGCAAAATCAAGCTATCTAGTGAGAGTAATTCCACCTCTAAAGACTTTGCGCTAGCACCCAGCCCATTTATCCACTCAAGTGAACAGTAATATACCCCAATGAACAGTAATAGACCAAATCATCTCCACTCCTACCAAAAAATAGCCCAGTCAATTTTATTAAAATATTATTATTTTATTTTTAATTTCTGACTTTAAATTTTTTTGGGAGAAAAAACGTGGACCGTTGATCTGTGATCAAACGATTTAGTTTAAAAGTGAAATTCAAAATATTTTTACCGTTGGAAATCCAATGACAGAAATTGGGCCACGTCGCCCACCCGAGGGAGATGTTAGTGCGCCTGCGCCGCTGGGCCCCGCCTCTGATTTTGTTGTCAGCTACTCGCGCCCACGTGCGCGTATAGGACACGTGCCAGGCGCAACAACACAAATGGCTCGATCCCAAGGTCTGTCAAAAATAGGCTGGTCTGGAGACCAGCTTAGGCTGTGTGCCAGGCAAACACACGGGCTGGAGTGGATTGGCTGAGTCCAAGCCTGTTTTTTCCACTGGGTGCTGGCCTCTTTTTGATCAAGTGGAGCTGCTCTAAGAGACTAAGAGGGTGGGACTTAGGTGACATGTTTATATGGTTGCTAGCTTAAGACATTGAACAATTTATGTCACATCCTGGCCCGGACCCCCACCACATTCCAGGCTCGACTTTGCCGTAGCATGATATTGTCCGCTTTGGGACTCGACCACGCTTTCACGGTTTTTTTTCTAGGAACTCACACGAAAACTTCCCAGTGGGTCACCCATCTTGGGAATGCTCTCGCCCAAACTCGCTTAACTTCGGAGTTCCGATGAAATCCGAAGCCAGTGAGCTCCCAAAAGGCCTTGTGCTAGGTAGAGATGGGAATATACATATAAGGCTTATAGGATCTACTCCCCTGGACGATATGGGATGTTACAATTTAATTATGAAGTTGTTGCGGTGAAAATATGTTATTTACAAATGGGGAATTAGCTCATTCTTTAAGAGGGAATGTAAGTATTATTCTTTTTTTTTCTAAACTACACTGAGAATAAGGGAAAATATTTGCATGTCTGCTTAGAGAGATGGAAAAAGAACAAAATAAGAGGCTAACTTAATCGAATACATTACAGTCATTCACCTATGTTGGAAATTATATATTATAATATGTAATTTAACATTTGCATGAAAAATTGTAACCATGAGTTCGTTTGAATTCACTAGGTGCCTGTTAGCAAAATGGTGTCTACTTATGATGAAAAGTTACATCTTTTTAATAAGCATTACTTGGGTTATATATTAACATATGAAATCATTTTCATTAAATGGTATAAAATTAGAGTTAACTTTTACTCTTGAGAAACAGGTTCCTCATTCTCATATTATTCGTTTGTCAAAATTCCAAGTCGTGTTTTGAAAGTACGGAAAATATAAAGTTCGTCTGAGTCTGAAGATTGAAGTGTTTCGACTTTGGATTATAGATTGTTGAATCTTGGGAGATGGATGCCTACTAAACTATAAGCACAAAAGTACGGCCGAACTTCTGTCTTTAGATTGTTGGAGCAATATTAAAAAAATATGAAATTAACATAAAAATTCTGTTTGTACCATACTTGACCAATCCCGAAACTACCGAGCACCGGCCAACGCTATACTGTCAAGGACCCAGAAGAGTTCCCCTCCGACCAGGAGGCCAATCACTACTCGACACGTGTCAAGATTAGAAGCCAATCAGAGCGCAGCACGTGTCAACATCAAGAACCAATCATAACATGACACATGTCAATGTGACAAAGCTACAAGTTTTTCTATAAATAGGGGTCATTCCCCCACAATATTGCCTAATGCCATTTGTGTTAAATCATTCACAAGAACTCACTAAATTGAGAGCTTGATCCTTTGTACTTGTGTAAGCCCTTCACTACTAATAAGAACTCCTCTACTCCGTGGACGTAGCCAATCTGGGTGAACCACGTACATCCTGTGTTTGCTTATCTGTCTCTATTCATTTACGTACTTATCCTCACTAGTGACCGAAGCAACCAAGCGAAGGTCATAAAACCTGACACTTTCTGTTGTACCAAAGTCTTCGCTGATTTTGTGCATCAACATTTGGCGCCGTCTGTGGGAAACGACACTGATTCCTACTCTCTTCAGCTGTGTCAAGCTGGTTTCTATCATTCGTACACTTTCTTTTGATCAGGCATCCCTCTCCAGCATGGGAAGCGAAGGAAGCCACAGCACACAGAATGACACCCCCCTTGCACATAGTGCGAAACAACGAAAGAAGGAAGGAAAACGAGTTCTTCTTCAAGCTAAAGTCGATGAGTTGGAAGCTCAGAACAACAAGATAGCAATGAGGAATGAGGTCCTCCAGGAGCAATATGAGAAGCTCTTCGAGACACTCCACGAAGCTAGGCAAGCTCAGACACGCGAGCTTGTTGCCCCCGTGGAAGTCAACCATCAACTGGGTGCCCTCCAACATGGAGGGTCACATGCATTCGACATAGATATCCCTGATAGGGAACAGATTACCCCTCGACT